GCGTGCGGCTCGGCCCAGGGCCGCGTGTCTGTGGGCCGTGCTGTGGCCGTCCGTGTCCAGCGGCCCTTCGCGGTGTCTGGGGGCCTGCCGGGGTGGGGAGACCGGTCAGCATTCTGGGGGCTGCGGGACTGTACCCTGCGGTCACTGTCCCTCCCTTCCCCACATGGTCCCCGCGCGCCCCAGGCCACTTTGCACCGGTCGGGAAAGCCCTGTGTGGCGGGGGCCCCCTAGACCGCCGGAACCTGCTTCCCAGCGGCCCCCACCTCCGTCCGGGCTATGGGTGTGCGCGGCCCCGGGGTGGCTGGGGTGCGGCCAGGTGTCCGTCCTCCGGGGAAGTGAACACTGAGCTGCACCACTGGGCCCAGGCCAGGGTGTCCACGTGGCCTGGTGTCCGGCTGTCGCTGTCAGGCCACTTCGACCTTCCTCGCCAGAGATTGAGTCGCGTGGGAGCTTGTCCCGGGCCGTGTCTGTGTTGCACAAAGGGGTACCCCCACCAGGCGCCTTCGGTCCACTCCGGTCAGACGAGGTGGCCGTCACTGCTGCTGGGAGCCACGTGCAGCCAGACTCCCACGCCTCAGGGAGGCAACAGGGCCCCACGTGGCCACCCCGGCCTGCTGACGTGCGCCGCTTCTGCCCCACCCAGGAGGCGCAGCCCAGAAGAACAAGTTGCCCCCGAAAGTGCCCATCACCCCCATGCCACGGTATTCCATCATGGAGACGCCGGTGCTGAAGAGAGAGCTGGACAGGTTGGTGGCGTCCTCGGGCGCCTGGCCTTCGGTCCCAGACCCAGCCTGGGCTCGGGGGGCTGCTGGGGTGTAGGCTGCTTCTCCCAGGCAGCTGGGAGGCCTCCCCGGGTGCCCGCCAGGCAGCGCCCCGCGCCCAGGTCCTTGCCACGGGGCCTGGCCGCAGCCGCCGGAGCGTGCCGGCCCGCCCCGGCCCAGCCTCGGCCCTCATCATGGTCCTCGGCGCGCGGCAGAGCTGCCCGGCTGGCCTGCAGGCCGGACGCTGGCCTCTGGGCGCGCAGGAGAGCCGGCGCAGGCCTGGGGCGGCGAAGCTGCTGCTGGCGGTCAGCTCTCGGCCTTAGGCTCCCCTCTCCCGTGCAGGTTTGGGGTCCGCCCGCTGCCCAAGCGCCAGATGGTCCTGAAGCTGAAGGAGATATTCCAGTACACGCACCAGACGCTGGGGTCGGACTCCGAGGGCGAGAGCCCGTCCTCCGCCGGCAGCCAGACCCCCGCCCCGGAGGCCGCCCCGGGCCCCGCTCCCCAGAGGTCTAGGGGCCCCGCGAAGACCACAGGTCCCCCGCCTGGAGAGCAGCGGCTGGGGAGCGGCGCCCCCTCCAGCGTGACCCCAGCCGCAGAGACGCCCCCCGGGTCGGGTGGCGACGCCGAGCTCCCGGCCTCCCAGGGGTCCGCAGCCCCCGCCGCGGGCAGCAGCGACAGCTCCTTCAGCTCTCAGAGGTGACGCAGCGGGGCAGCGCCTGCCTGCGGGGGGCTGGCCAGGGAGGGGGGAGGGGCCGCCCCGCGGGGCGCCCTGACAGGCCGTGCCTTTCAGCTCCGCCTCCTGCGAGTGGGGCCCGGCTCTCGAGTCCGCGGGGGACGAGGGGGACGAGGAGGGCGGTGGCGCCTCGCAGGCCGGGGCCACGGAGGCCGCGCTGGGCCGCTACATCCGCTCGCAGCCGGCGCTGTTCCGCCGCGTCCTGCAGTACCAGCCGCTGGAGCTGGCGGAGCTGCGCGCCGGGCTGCGGCAGCAGGGCCTCCGCGTGGCCGCGGGCAAGCTGCTGGACTTCCTGGACGCCCAGTGCATCACCTTCACCACCGCCGCTGCCCGGAAGGAACAGCTCGCGAGGCGGCGGCAGCGGCGGCCGGCGGCCAGGAGGAAGGGGGCTGGCGCCCCCCTGTCCCCGTGAGGCCCTGGCCACCCCTCAGTGCCTGGCCTGTCCCCTGGACACCCAGCTCCAGGCTGCCCGCCCAGACCGGAAGACCGACCCGGGGACCGGCCGGTCCAGCCCTCTGGGCTCTGAAGCCCCGACGAACTCGCGCTGTGCCAGCCGCTCCTGGGGTAGCGGGCAGGAAGGATGGGCACCCCCTGCCCTCTAGTCACTTCCGGGCAGTACCCTCCACTGTGCAATAAAGAAAGGTGCAAGCTGAGCATGGCCCCAGCGCACAAGCCTCACGGCCCTGCACCCCACGTGTGAGGCTGTCACTCCTCATCCACCCACACCCACGTGCAGGGAGCCCGGGGCTCGCCAGGGCACGGGGCCGGCACAGGCCCTGCAGGGGTTTCGGAGGCTGCCCGGCCTGTGCCGGCCACGGGGGCGGGGGCCGAGCCGTCGCTTCCTGCCCCGTGGGAGCAAGGGGCAGTCAGTGCTGGGGTGGCCCAGAGCCGCGCTTCCTGGGAGGCTCGCGGGCCGGGCCTGAGGTGCCACAGCCCCCGGGGCCTGGGGGTGCCCCAAGCCGCTGAGCCCTGGGCTCGAGCCAGCCCTCCCGCTGGCCGCCCAGGCCCGAGGACCCAGACCACGCTGTGACCACAGACACCTCGCGGCAGCTCCCGGGGTGCAGCCTGCTCTGTTTGGAGGGTGCCTGTGCTTCTACAAATGGCCAGTGTCCCCTGGGACACTGTTAGGGCAGGTGGAGGCGACTTGGGGTCCTGACAGTGGGCATGCGGCCTGGGGTGTCCTCAGCTGCTTGCAGGCACGACTCCGGTCACCTGCGCCTCGATGGGGCCTGGGGGGGGGGTGCCGGAGTGGGGGAAGAACCACATGGTGGGGACAGTGGGGAAGCTCTGGGTGCTGAAGACCTCGGCCAGGTCACGTCCACACAGTACACACCTAGGGGCCAGCAGCAGTCAGCAGGGG